AGCTGCCCAGGAGTCCTTGCTGTTTTCATTTTATTGTTCTGGCTCCAACACGGAGGCCTCTGGCTCCAAACAGCTCCTCTTGCCCAGAAAAATAGGTCGTTGGCAGCTCTAGCCTCCTGACAGGCCCCAGACAAAAGCGGCCTGACGGGCCTGCCTGCTGCTGCCAGCCCGGGGTTCCAGGAAGTGAGGAGCTGAGCCTGGCAAGCAGGGCTGGTGCCAGGCAGAACTGGGTCCCTGCGGGTTCCAGCATGCCTTGGCAGACAAAGTGACCCTGGTCAAGTCACTCTCCTCTTCTGGCCTTGTTTCCCTACCTCTGGGCACATGTTGCCATCGCTGGGACTTTAGGGAGCCGATGCATGTAGAAGGGCCAGGCACACACCTGGGCGCTTTTATCTCCCCCCCCCCCCCCGCTCCCCACCACACACACACACAGAGGCCAACTCCTTAGACGCTCCCACTATGGTTGTGCCAGGTCTGCCCCTGGGATCAGGGACACCTGGTTATTCCTATTTCACAGATGAAAAGACTGAGGCTCATAAAGAAAAGTCTCATCAGTCCAAGTGGGCCGAGTCTTGGCTTCAAGGCCCTTGGTGCTCCCCTTTTCCTGCTGATTCCAGAGTTCTCTCCAGCAGGGCAGGGACACGGTTGGTCCGGCTTCTATAAAAAGATCCCTCTGGCTGCGGAGTGGAGAACAGGCGCAGGGAGTGGGTGCCCAGGAGGGAGATGGTGGAGGCTTAGACCAGGGCCGGAACAGCTGTGGAGGCGCTGAGAAGGGGTTTGGTTCTGGATTTGCAGGGATGGTCCAGCCAGTGGGATGCGCTGCTGACAGATGGCAAACCAGGAGCGACAGGGAAGAGTCGGAGCCATGCAGGGATGGAGCCGCCTCTGGCTTCGGCAGTCACTTAAATATCACCTCCTCCGGGGCCTTCCCTGACCCCCTTCCTTCATTGGCCCTCCTGGGCCCTTTCTCTGCTTTTTTTTCCCTCCGACAAGCTTTATCCCCATCTGACACACTAAATAGTGTACATACTGATTTGCTCGTTTGTCCCTGCTCGAATGTCAGTTCCTTGGGGAAGGAGTTTTTGTCTGTTGTTGTTTCTCTCTCCCCCCTCCCCCTTCCCCACACACACACCTGCTGCATCCTCAGTGCCTAGCACAGAGCCTGGCACATAGTAGATGCATGATTAATACTGTTGATTGCATGAATGAATCGTATATGTATGAGGCAATTCCATTTTAACCCAGGGCAGCCCAGAGGCCTCCTATGTCTGCCATAATCTCACTCTGTGACTTCAAACAAATCCCCCAACCTCAGGATACCCGGCTGGCTGCCCACTGGTCTCAGTGACCTCCCAGCCCTGAGAGTTGGCCACAGGTGATTTTTCTATGGATGCTGGGACAAGAAAACAAGGCCCACGCCCCCTCCTGGGACAAGTGTTGGGAAGCCCCGCTGAGTCCTTTGCCAGAGGAGGTGCTATACTAGTGTATAAATAGCAGGTGGTTCAATTATTATCCTTCCCTAATCCGCCTTCTCCTAATCTCAGGCAGGGTGTGTGTGTGTGTGTGTGTGTGTGTGTGTGTGTGTGTCCTGGGGAATGGCAGAGCCTTCTGGAAGCCCTGGCCAGGAGTCTGCCTCATCTCTGACCTTCAGCAGCAGCCTCTGCCCCCATTCCCACCCAGATAGATTCTAATAATGGATTTTCCCAGGAGTCTCAGCTGGTCACCTTCATGGTCTCTGCCAGATGTGGCCTGAAGAGTTAGAGACTCCCTCCCTCCCACTCAGATACGAGGACCCCAGAACAGCCTCCTGACCGGTGCTCTGACTCCATGTTCCCCTCCCTGTGGCCCACTCTTCGCTGGAAGCCAGGCTGCCCTGGCCTTTTGAGCATATGGAACACTCCATGGTGCTCTCCTGCTGAAACCCGCCAATAACTTCCTGTCAAATAAATGCATGCTCCACCGAGGCCTGCAAGACCACCTACCTGGACCACTCTCCCCCATCCCTTGCTCATTCCCCTCCAGCCAAGCTGGCCCCAGGGCCTTTATCTATGCTGTTCCCTCTTCCTTGAACATCAAACCCCCAAATCCTCACCCTGTTACCCCTTCTTGTGATTCAGCTCCTAGCTTCTCGGGGAGGCCTCACCCTTATCTAAATGAGCACACCCTCCTCACTCTCTGAGCTCAATCTTCTGTTGTTCATTAATTATTTCTACTTGTCTACTTATCTGCCTCTCCACCAGAATATAAATGCCTCGTGGACAGGAACACAGCGAGGGTTCCTGCTGTGTCTCCCACACCCACAGAAAAGTAAAATTCCCTCGTCCTTCAAATACTGCCCAGAACCCCGTGGGCTCCCAAGGATTGTTGTCAAACACTTCACTTATTTGTCACATGCTGTGGAGCACTTGGACATGCTAGACACTCTTTAAAGTGTTGTACAAGTATTAATTCACCCAATTCTCTCACCAGCCTTTTTGGTGAGACACTCAGGTTGGCCTCATTTCAGACGAGGAAGGTGAAGCACCGACAGGATAAGATGTTTCCCCAAATCTGCACAGCTCATAAGAGGTAGCTGGCAGGATTGGAACCCAGGAGCCTAGTTCCTGCTCTCAAGCTGGACCCGCCTGCCTCTCTCTTAGCCCAAGACCAGGACCAGCCTCTGGCAGGGAGGCTGGGATGGGAGTGAGGCTACCACTTTGCAAAGGTCTTTATTTAGCCCGGGATTCCGGGAAGTCAAAATTGTTTCTACCCCTGGCCTTGCTGTGTGGTCTTAGGCAAGTTCATTTCCTCTCTGGGCTCCCTTTTGTGGCTTCATTCATATTTTTTAAAAATAAAAAATATATAATTTTATTGATTTTTTACAGAGAGGAAGAGAGAGGGATAGAGAGTTAGAAACATCGATGAGAAAGAATCATCAATCAGCTGCCTCCTGCACCACCCCTACTGGGGATGTGCCCGCAACCAAGGTACATGCCCTTGACCGGAATCGAAACCGGGACCTTTAAGTCCGCAGACCGACGCTCTATCCACTGAGCCAAACCAGCTTCGGCTCATTCATATTCTTTCCTTGACAGCCTTGCCACATTGGATGCCGCTTTATTTCCAAGCCCCAAACCTTCCAATTAGCAGAGGGCTTTGGGCTCCTTTCCCTCCCACTGTCCTCACCACCTTCGCCAGGTGGCCAGCACGCCCACTCCCTGTCACTGACCTGGTTGCTACTGGGCACACAGCTCAGTTGTAGGAGAAGGGGAGAGAAAGGGAGGGTGGACAGAAAACCTGAAAGACAGAGACACATAGAAGCTCTGTCCTCTCTAACTCCAAGCCTGTTGCCTCTGTTCCCCTCCTTTGCCCTCATATTATTACTCCTTACTTGTCATGTTCCTGGAGCCCAGGACTTCAAGTCCCCCTTCTCTGCACCCCCCCACCCCCCCAAGTCTGCCACAGAGAGGCACCTGGCAGAGAGCGCCCACCTCCGGGGAGGGGAGGACCCTTCCCCTCTAGTTCCCTGGCCGCAGCCCTCCTCTCGTTCTTTCTCCTCTACCCTGAAGCCTCTGTTGCAGGCGGCACTGAAATCCTTCCTACACACACGCTATTTTTGTACCATCACTCTCTCCTTCCTCTTCCCCTTCCCCCCACATTCACTTACTTCCTGCTTTTCCTCCACCTAAGCCCAGCTCGGACAGACTTGGGGGGCCCCCTATGTGGCCCAAGCGTACCCCCCACGGAGCCTTCCTTTGGAGAAGGGGCAGGGCCACTTGGGAAGAGGCACAGGCAGACACCCCGAGTCCCCGCCGCTCCCCCCGCTGCTGCGCCGCCTCCAGCCTCTCGGCGGCAGGCAGAGGGAAGCAGGGACTGGCCGCGGCGGCCGGAGTCCGGAGGCGAGGGAGGCCGGCCGCAACTTCCCCAGTCCACCTTAAGAGGATGCTGAGCCCGGCTCGCCGCGCCGACCTGGGAAAAACAAGTTTGCGCTGAGCGGAGCGGGCCGGACCCCGCACCCCGGCCCCCGGCCCCAGGCGCTGCCCCCGCCGCCCCCGAGCCCGCAGGTCCGAGTCCGCGGGCGGCTGGGGAGCGGGAGGGCGGGCCGGGGAGCTGACAGCCGCGCGGCTTCTGAACTGGCACATTGTTGGAGGCGGAGGCCGGGCTGGTCCCGGACCGAGCGAGCGGGGTGCGCCGGCGGCGGCGGGGGCTGGCGGCCGCCTCCCGGGGCTGCGCGGGGACGGGGGGGGGGCTCGGGCGGGCGGGTGCCGGCGAGGGGCGACCCCGGCCTCCTGGCCGCGCGGGAGACCCCAGCCCTCCTCCCTCCCCTGGCGGGCGCTCGCCGAGGGGGTGCCGGGCGGCGGGAGCCCCGCAGCCCCCGCGCGGGCTGGAGGGCGAAGGGAGGAGGAGGAGGGAGAAGGGGGCGGACGGCGGGCGGGGGCCCGGCTCAGCGGCCCGGACTGCGGCCGGAGCGAGCCGAGCCGCGGGCGCCGGGCGGAGAGCGGGCGGGGCCGGCGGGCCGCGGCGGGGGCGGCCGGCGGAGCGGCCCCGGACCCGGGCTCGCGGTCCCTCTCCTCCGGCGCGTCTGGCTCCGCGCGCAGCCTCGCGCGCTCCTCTCCCCGGCCCCCGCCTCTCGCTCCCCCCACCCCTCGCTGCCAGTGTCTCTGGCTCTCTGCCTGGCTACCCCGGTCTGCTTCCCTCTCCCGCCGCCTCGCCGCTCTCCGGCCGCCCCGCTCTCTTTCCTGCGCGCTCGGGGTCTGCCCGTCTCCCCATCTCTCCGGGGAGTGGGGGGCGCGGGGATAGGGGGGATGTAATCCTAAAATCGCGGCGGGGACGGCGGCTCCGGAGCTGCTCCAGGCGCCCGTTCCGGGGAGGGGGGAGCCCGGCCGAGAAGGGAGGGGAAGGGAGAGGAGGGAGGGCGGGAGGGGGAGAAGGGGGGGCTTAGTCATTTCCCCGCTCCAGCCCGCGCTTGCCCGAGCACGCACTCACGGCCGCTCTCCCTCCTCGCTCCGCAGCCGCGGCCCATGGAGCCCGCCGGCCCGGCCCCCGGCCGCCTTGGGCCGCTGCTCTGCCTGCTGATCGCCGCGTCCTGCACCTGGGCAGGTAAGCGCCCCCGCCCCGCGCCCCCACCGCTGCCCCCCACACGGCGGGCTCCGGTGTCCCCGGCCACCCCTGGGGGCCGCGGGGCTGTCCGCGGCGATAGGGGTAGCGATGTCTGTAGTCAGGGCTACAGATCGGAAAACTGAGGCCAAGAGAGGGCCGCCGAGTGGCCCAAGGTCACACAGCCAAGGATGGAATCCGATGCCCACTGGGTGCCACTGAGCCGGGCACCGGAACGGCCCCCCATGAGTTGCTGCGCCCTGCCCGATCCGGAAGGAGGCGGGGGGGAGGCAGGCTGCCGGCTGCTTTCCGAACCAGACACCCCGGCTTCTCTAAAAAGCTCTCTGCCTGGTCCGATGCTTTCCACAGGTTTGATTTCAGGGTCTGAGAGAAGGGGGTGAGGGGGTGGGGGGCAGAGGTCCCCCAGGCACTCACTGCCCAGGATGGAACAGAAACAGGCGTTGCAATTAGGGGAGAGGGAGCCTGCCCGCTGGTGCGCAGAGTGAAACAGTGTCAGTGTGTGCATGGGGGAGAGACAGAGGGAGGCCGTGATAACCCTGGGGTGAGCTGCTGCGATCAGATCAACAGATCCTGATAGGAAAACACGGTGCATGTCCCTGAGGTAGCCAGAGCCTCTCGCTGGATGGCAGTTCTCCTTGCTGGCTCGCCCCCTCCCCTGCCCCCGCCCCCTCCTGCCTTCCCCAGCTCCCTGCAGTTCAGGGGCTCCATGGGGCTATTACCTGTGGCTCTGAGCAGGGCTTTTTGTTGGCCTACATCAAACACCTGGCAGCCTCTGAAGGCTGGCATGTGTTCGCCAAGGGGTGAGGTCACCATTCAGGAGTCCGGCTTCTTAAAGGGGTTTTGCAAAAACCATGGGTCTCCGGGGAGGGCATGGGGGGCAGAAGCATGGCATGTAAGGGCAGGGGTGGGGGAGAAGAAAGGAGCATCTTGATTCTGGGCTTTTTGAAGCTGTGCTGTTGGCGGAGGGGTCTCGGCACCTCCCTCCCTTGAGGAAAGAGGCAGAGATGAGCTCAGTATCCACCTCCCCCTTTTGCATTTGCCTAGAGACGGGTAACCATCTGAGAGCAGTGAGAAACGGAGAACTAGCAGAGAGTGGGTGGAGGGAGAAGTGGGGGTAAACAGCCTCTTCTCTCTGCCCTGCAGTTTCTCCTGAACCCGGGGATCCACATAGGTCTCCCCCAACCCCACCCCCCAGCCCCATTCCCAGGTCTTTCTGTTACTGTTGGGTCCTGGCTGGGAGGAAGGAAGCACTGGTATATTTCTATCTCTCTGGTGAGTGGCATCTCTGATCTGCTCCTTCCTGCCTGAGCCGGCCATGTATACCCTTCAGAGTCCCACCCCCTGCCCTGCCATCCTTCCTGGCTTGGAAATGCATGAGCACCTCTCACTCGTGCTTCATTTTCCTAAAACAGGGAATCGGGTACAAGTTAATCTCTCAACGTCTATTCCAGACCCTCCTCCCATCAGGACCCAGTGGCTTAGTTTTCTGGCAAAAAGCGTGGCAATGCTGGTTCACAGGTTTTCAGATGGACAGCCTACCTTTCCCAGGGCCCCAGCTGGGAACCCCACCACCCTTCCTGTGATAGAATCTCCCCCTTTTATCTATAAAAACAATCTATAAAAAGGTAAAGATTAGGCCATAAAACTTTGGTTCCAAGCCATTCAGCATCAATAGCCTGAAAAAGTGGGAACAGCAGAGGGGCCAAGATTAACTTTGAAATGAATAAATCTCGGGAGGAGAGAATACATTTCCTGGCAGAGGGTGGTGGGGAAGAGGTAGGGTGTCACCATCATAACCGAAGTCTCCCAGCATCCTTCACTCTATGTCCTACAGGGTCCTGGTCACACCCCGGCCCTGGCCTGGCATTCATGTGGTTTTTGGCTGAGGCATGGGGCGTCAGGACCCTCCCTCGGTAGATCTAAGCATGGTATGCGACAAAGCAGCACAGAGGCAGAGCAGAAGGGCAGAGGAAGGTAGAAGGGGGCCGTCGTGCAATTTCCTAAGAAAATGGATTTGTTTGAGTGAGAAACTCAAATGTCAGGCTTCGGAAGGCGGCTCTGGATTGAATGACTACTAGTGTCTCCGGCAAAACTGTCTGCCTGGGAGGTGTCACGTGACCGCCATGGCTTCCCATGGTCACTGTTTGGAGGGGGGCTGGTCACGGGAATTATCTTGTTTGGGGGCGGCAGGGGAAGAGGTTTCTAAAGATTGCTTTCACCACAGCTGCTGCCAAAGGGGAATTCTATAAAGATGCCAGTGAAGTCACCAACCTGTGTTTTGGGAGCCAGTGGGAGGCGTGTTTCGTAAAACAACGCCCCGAGGGAGATTCTGAGGCCGGGAGAAGGGCAGGGGACAGGGGACAGGGGCTTGGGGTCATCTGGGGAGCTAGATTGTCTAGCAGCAGCAACAGCACATGGCACTGAATCTGCTGGCTCCTGTTTGGGTCCCACCTAGGTCTTGGGACGGTACCTTCTGGGCTGACCTCAAAATGAGCTCCCATTCATTCCTCGCTCGGGCCTGGAGAAGGCCAGGCCACAGGGGCTCGGGTCTGGGGGCATCGGGGCCCTCTGGCGAGGCCCTGGCCTTTTGGTAGAGAGTGGCACTCCGAAGGCTTCTCTGTACTTTCCTAAATGGTGAAACTGATCTCACTTCCTCTTTCTCAAGAAGACAAGGGTGGGGGGCGTTTGCTCTGTTGGGCTCAGGCTATCGGAAGGCCCTTAACGTAGAGGGTTCCTTGGTTAGCTTCTGCCCCTTAATTATTTACTCCTTTACCAATCCCGCGAGACTCAGGGTGTGATTCATTCCCTGACTTGTAGTCGCTCTGCACGCATGAGCTCCTAATGTGAACCATGTGTGGAGAGAGGCGAGGAGACCCAAATGTTCTTTGAATGTTAACTGAATTCCAGGCTGCGTGCAGACTGCCTAATCTGCATAGTTTCCTCGGTCAGCAAACACAGACTGAGCTGGCTGTTAGTCCCATTTTGCAGATAAGGAGAATAGAGTCCCACACTGGAGAAGGAACGTGTCCGAGGTAGGGAGCCTGGATTTTTGAATCCCGGCTTCCTGGCTGTACCCTCTGAAGGAAGATGTTCCCCGATTTAGTTGGGAGGACTTAGCCCGAGCTGGAGGGAACAGGAGGAGGCCCCTCCCGGCTCCGATGGAAGTTGGTAGAAAGATTCCTTCTGGGGCAGACACGTTTCACTGAGTCACATTTGTTTCTCTGGAACTACACTGAGGGTGGAAACCCCGGCAGGCCCTCACGAGTGACAAGCCACAAGGGGCTCCCGTCAGAGCCCCCCGTCTGGGCCACCGAGCTCTGGAGCCCCCAGAGCTGGAATATTCCTCCATGCGCGTATCTTCCCGGTGCCCTTTGCAGCAGATGGAGAGGGGGTGTGCGAGAGGAAGGCAGTCTAAAAGTGTTGTGCGGATCCCACACTCACTCGCTTGCTGCTTCCAATGGCTCCGTGTGACAGGTTATTTTTTTATTTGTAGTCTTGGTTTCTCCCCCCCCCCCCCACCTCCCCTTCTTCTTAAGTGAGCTCGGATTTCTGGCCTGTCAACACGACTCAGATCATGTCACTCCCCAGCTCAAAACTGTTGAGTGGATCCAAAGTTTCTTTTAAACACACACACACACACACACACACACACACACACACACACACACACTGCACCAGGGCCTCCCTCCCACGACAGGCCTTCTTTCTCAACCATGTTTGCCAAAGGGCTGACCTATTGACATTTGACATGCTACGAGGTAACCAGGCTTCCTCTCTGCGGCCCCAAGCTTCCCCGGCTCCTCCAGTGCCGTGGCACCCAAAGACCTGAGAAGTCCCGCGAGTGTCGGATCCCCATTCATAGGAACGAGAGGCGTTCGGTTTGGAGAACACTCATTCACGGGGCCTCACCCAGTTTGGTGAATGGTTCTGTACAAATCCATGCCCTTAGCGCAGCTCCCTCCAGCATGTTCCTTTGCTCAAACTGTTCCTGCCATCAGCAGTGCCCTTCCCTGTACCTCCTTACCTCCCTGAGTCCCACTCCTCCCCCCTCCTATCCCCCTTCACAGTTCAGTTTGTGCTCCTGCCTTGTGCTCTCGGGGATCTCTTTCTCCTCTGAACCTGCCCCGGGATGTCATCAACCCCTGTCTGAGGCCTTCTGCTTGTTTTATCATCCTGTGCGTGCACACTTAGCTCTGGCACCCGGTGGTCCACGGGCGCGGGGACCAGCTGGCCACTCCGTATGGACACAGCGAGCCCCGTGCTGAGTCACAGGCTCAGTCTGATCCAGACCCCCGGGTGTGAATCCAGCAAGAGCATGTGCACGGACAACTCACTGAGCTCTGTCTGCGTCTCAGTCTCCTCATCTGTAAAACAGAGTGAATCAACAGCTCCGTTTCCAGGATTAAGTCGATTAACTGCGTGTGAAGCGCTTGAAACCATGCCTGGCACGTAGCTGAGTGCTCAGCCAGTGTCGTAATCATCAGTGTTGTTCTGCTCGGATTTCCTCACCCATGAAAGCAAGCCGAGCTCTTGTAAAGCACCTAGCACAGCTCCGAGTGCAGAGTGGCTGGCTACTCACAGAACAACAGAGCTGATAAGGGGGTGACTGTCTTCAGCCGCAGGCTTCCCCCTGTCGCTTTCCTGCCGGCAGGGGAGGGATAAGTTGAGCAGAAACCCAAGCTGTGTGATTTAATTGTCTGGTCGTGGGACTGAGTGCTGTGGGCATAGCTTGCCTCTAGGTGTCTCTGTCCCTAGCCACGGGTCTGGATTTGCGGGCTCCCAGACATGGAAAACCAGAGGGGGGCCTGAGAGAGCTGTCAGTCCCCTCGTCCAGCACCTGAGGGCAGTGGCAGAGAGGGAGGGACGGGCGGGCTTGCCCAGCAGATCTGTGGCAAGGTGTGGGTGGGACGCCAAGCCCGGCCCCCTGTGGTTCAGGCCTACGCTTTTTTTAAAACGGGGGTGTGCTGGAAGTTTCCATCGTT